AGATGTGAGCTCTGTGTCCATTAAGATTTATCAGCTGTTCGCCTGGTCCTGGCAGCCTTCCCCTGAGGATCCAGGTTTGTGTAGCTCTGCCCAAGGGGAGCCTCCTCAGCGGAGACAAGGCCACTGTTCTGTTGGGTACCAACACAAACCCACGGCCATCATCCCCTCGCAGTGTCGGTCAAGTTCATGCCATTTCCCTTCCCTTCTAAACCTCTGTTCCAATGGCTGTGCAGCTGCTGTGGCGATTGGGATGCCCCAACTTTGGATCTATAGGGGCAAACTTCAAAACAACCGTCTTTGTAGAAACTGTTTCAATTTCTATTTTAATAATATCCATTGTCTACCTTTCTGGGTTGGAGACTTGCGTGCCTTAGGCTCGTGGTGTTTCTGACTGCGTGGTAAGTCAGAGCTGGTGTTTCTGAGTGGCCGGAGTTCTGTGGGATCACCAGAGGACTCGGAAGGATTTGAGCAGTCAAGTGGAAATGCTGTTCTCCTGGAACAGAGGCAGCAAATGTGGAATGCTGAAGCCTGATGTGACTTTCCATTAGTGCACAAAGATCCTCGACAGAAGATGGGTCACTGGATGCGCTAACGCGGTGGGAGCACCAGGCACTGAATTGACTGTTTTAGGAGGATATGCAATTAGAGGCTATTACAGGTACCATAAATAATTCAAATTACTTTCTCTACATGATGACCTACGGGTAAGGATCTCTGTCTGATGCTGAATGACTGTTACCAGTTTCGTTTGGAAAAATGTCCAGCCCACAGCGGTGGCAGGACCAGCACGGTCATCGGGTCAAAAGCGTTTGCCTCACGGTGTACCAAACATCCCACCTGAATCCAGGAAATTAGAAAGAATTTTGGTAACTCTTAACCTGATGCCTACCATACCTCTGTCTGAATATTGGAGCTGTGGGGTACAACCTCCTAAAGGTTTTAGTTCTTCAGTATTCTGCAAGGCTGTGTCTCACACCTGTGGCAATGTTGTGTCTGTTTAATGTTAAATTGCCAGTTAACCATGTTTACCTGCAGGAGGTGCCTTTTCTAGGGAGTCAAACAGACTGGAAAGATTCTCCAGTAGCCTCTTTTGACTTTGCACGTTTCTTTTGAATTTCTGCTTCCTTAAACGTTTGAGTTTCTAGATCAAAATCATAAGGTATTTTTATCATATACCTTTAAAAGACAATTATCTTGAAATAAGATAGGCCAGTGGTAAGAAGAAAAACAAACAGTAGAGTGTAAGCGGTAGGTTAATATCTGATTTGACCGTAATTTTGGTAGAAGTTGGTAGCAAGAAGATTTTAAGTTAACATTTGTGATACTGCACACTCTTTTCTAGCCTTCAGAACTTGGGGAAAAAAAAGAAAAAATAATCCCAACCCCAGTTTCACAGGTGTCTATTAACTAAGATTAAACACATTCTGGCCACTTATACAGGTTGTTTCAGTGAAAGCAGTGAATTTATATACTTAGAAATTAGCATTAGTTTCCAGACTGCCATATCAAATGAGTATTTAACATGCAAGAAAAAAATCTTGTCCCCATTTTAATACTCATTATTTTTGGCGGCTGTTTCCTCTGGAAGGCTCATGGTGATTTTTACTTGGGCCATTTCGGAGTGAGGAGAAGGTTCTGTGTGTGTTACGTGGGGAAGGTAAGAATGGGATGCAGCCTGCGGGTGCTGAGGTGACTGACACGGGCTCGGGGTCGTTGCTGCTCACAGAAATTGGCTGCTTGGGTGACGTTGGCTCGTGCCTGGAGCTGGTCCTGCTACTGGTGCAGTGGGAGATCGCCTATAGCGAGACCACAGAATTTTTCCTGCTGAAGGACGTGTTGCCCGAAAAAAGTAAATTGAGCATTCTTCCTCAGGTCTGTTTTTTAAGGATAATTTTAAACCATGTCGCCCAGTAACTTTTGAAGAATGTTGTGTTCCGTGCCAGTCAGCGCATCGGCCTCCTTTGGTAAATCAGAGTTGACCGGCCACGATGGTAGGTCCGAAATAAATCACGACCACTCCCCATCTCCTTGTGGTCAGCAGCTTGGTATGTTTTTCATTTACAAAGCCAAGAAAAACAAGCTAGTTGCTGAGCTCTTTAATTTCAGAAAGGACATCCAGATGGGGTTTTTGGATCCCTATGTGTATGCAATTTTTGGAAGATACTTCAGTTGGCAGATTTGTGCAACTGTATGATCATTGTCTATGAAACAGACAATCTTGGTTCCTTTATGTGGTGGAACAAATCAAATTCCATTTTGATACAGGAAAAAAAGTTGAGCTCATAGATGTAAGAGCAAAGAGTATAGGAGGTGGCTTTACTCCCAAGAGACTCTGTCCTGAAGAGCTCCTAGTGGTCTGTGGTGAACAAAGTCAGTGTGAACACTGGTGACAGGGGGAAAAAAAAGTGATTTTTGATTCCTCTGGGATGCCTGAGTAGGAGGCAGTGGGCAGGAGAGGACTTTATGACTTTGCTGATGAGTGGAGTGTTTCCCATGTTGCTTTTTCAACCCCTCAACACCTTAAAAGAAGGACGTAGTGAAAACAAAACAGAAATGCTGCAGGAATCGTCAGGGAGTAGAGGAAGGGATTTGTGGTGCGAGATGTGAAAGGCAGCTGAGGGTAACAGAAGATTTCGAGGTGCCCCTCAGGGATAGTGAAGGAGAATCTCTGTAGGGTGGAGATGGCACCTGCCTGAGGAGGAGGAGCCCTGGAGGGTGAGAAGGGTGAAGTAAAACAGAGGATACGGTGGGGAAGGTGACGGCTGGAATAACCGACCGAAGGCAGTGGTGGATCCTCCTGCTGGGCAGGGTGACTCTGGGAGGCAGCGAAACAGGAGTTACTGAGGCTCACGGGAGAGAGTTCTGGGGCTAAAGCTGTTTAGGGGTTGAAGTTAGATGGAAATTGCCTTTCTGTGCCTTAAAATCTGTCAAGTTCAGGGTTAACGGGTTCTGACATGTTGCGGGGAAAGCCTCACTTCCTTCACCAGATTTCTACGATGTAAAAATTAAACTTTTATTGAATCGCATGGTTTCTTATCCTACAAAACCCCCTGAAATGATATATTGCAACCTAATTTTGCAAACCCTGAGGTGATATGTGAGTGGTGGTCAGGATTTTGTTCCGTCACTAGTACTGAGTGTGGTACCACCGGGGCAGCAGAGGGGTCTGGGGGGTGCCCTGCCAATGCTGATCGGCACAAACTGCACCCGCCTAAACAAACCGACAGCAAATTTCTAGCACTCCAATTATTTTAATAAGCCACAGTTGTATTTTATGGATGCTGAAATAATACTGAAAATTGTTCCATGCAGTCCATTTCATTCCGCTAGAACAGAATCGTGTCGGTATAGCAGTTATATTTTTAGTGGCAATCCAGTTAACAAATTCCAGTAGTAATATATAATGCGTGCCATTATACAGATGCTAAAGAAATTGTATCATCTAACAGAGTGCTTGATTTGAAAGTGTTCCTGAAAAATCAACCTATTTGGTTTTGAAAAAGTGCTTAACCTTTAAAACAGAGAGTGAAAGTAAAGGCATAGACGGTGAATTTGCATCTTAAGCAAGAAAAAGCAAACACTTTGTACCCATGGTAGGATTTTTCAGTTTTAATCATGATTATTTTTTTTTTTTTCAGTTTATCCTGATTTTTAAACTATTTTTACAGTGACTTTTTCCCTTGAAGAAAACAGGTGATACTCACATGAATAGTGTTTCCTAATAGTTCTAAACCAAAGAATGTTAACTGTTGCTTAACAGAAATTATACGGACTCGGAAAAGAGCAAGTAATATAAAATCACCGCAGTATTTATTGACTAAAAAGATATTTTTAAAGCATGACATGGGAGAAGTGCATATAGCAAATTAGTGTATGAAAGTGCGTGGTACTGTCAGTGAATTCAGCAAAGCTACGTGATGTGCCACACTGAAAGTAAAGATGCATTTTCTTTGTTATAACCTCATACCTGCATTTTATAAGGTCTTCTACGTTAGGGTGGAGACAGCTTTGTCAGTCACATTGAACAAAAAAGCTCTAAAGAATTAGGTTTTTCTCTCAGCGTCTAACCTGAGCCTGAGTGATTCTAAATGTAATACAATATGATACATTTTACACACTTGCAAAAACATTTTATTACAAATTACATTGTATGGTATGATAGAACACGGTATGTAATTTTAAGCAAGACTATATGTATGTTAGCTTTTCCAGTTTTAAAAAAATGTAAAAAATTAAAAATTTGCAACTTCTTAAGAAAATAGCCTGGACATGTACAGAACACACCGTGAGAACTTTCACTTTTAGCTCTTAAATGTTTCACCAGTGAATTTTCCTCTGTCGTTTGAAATGATTAACAGATACTGGTCTCTGTGTGAGTCAGCAACCGCACGTAGAAACAGTTCAGGTTTGGGTCAGTCCCTGCACACAAGAACGTTTAGAACAGGTTTATGGGAAAAGCTACTGATTCGGTGACACTAACGATTCGTAATCGATTGCCATTGAGAGACGCTTGATTTAATTTCTTTAAAAAAACCCCAAACACTAGGCCTGTTAGCATGGAGGAGTTAATTAGTAACACTATTTTAAAATAGAATACTAAATACTGTTGTGTTTTTCTAGTTATGTAGTATTTGATATTTCTTTCTGTTTAGGAAAAAAAAATAAATCTCCTTGTTCGGAAATATTTGGGTTTCTAAACCATGTCAGGTGGGCTGTCTTGTAAACAGTTGTGTATTTTCAATTAAAAACAATATAAAATACGTGAAACACATTTTTTCCACATAGAACAATTGCACTTCCTCTCGGGTACACGGGATCACCTTTCTAATCCTTCAGCTTTCACACAAGTATTTCAAGATACTGTTTGCTGATGCACAAGAACTCGTAGCCCTCTTGAAGGTTTACTTGAAGGTGACTTTTTTCCATTAAAGCATGCTGAAATTAATTTTGAGCTGGACACAGATGTTTTGCATTTCTGTTTCCATTTTAACTTCCTTTTCTTGTGTTTTGAGGGGGGGGGAAATTATTTTCCTCAAGTTTTCTTGTAGTAATGAATTTGATGCTGAGCTAAGAGGAAAAATGGTGTACATGAAAACACTTAAATGTTTTCAGTATGTGTAAACACTTCTGCCAATGATTATATTTCTGCCACCTAAAGACAGTTATTTGTATCGTACTGATGCTGCAGGGTCTGCAATTTCAAAACCAATTCTTAGAAAAGCATTTTGTCATATGACATTGTATGACTCAAATTATCTTAAAAAAAAAAAAAATCCCACTCCCTGGCCACTTCTAGTGTGAGAAATTTTTCCACAGATGGTCATTCTAGATGCAAGTCTAATGACAGAAGCAAATACTTAAAGGAAAAAGTTGCAGTTTATAATTCAGAGAAAAATTTTAAATGTCATTTAAAAAAAACAACAAACCCAAGCCCACACCAAAAAACTAGGAACGAATTGGTTTGCATCTCTTCCCTAAGTGAGTTGGTTAGAAGCACAATGAATTGCTTGAGATAAAAGTGATAGTATGTTGGGAAACCCATCGGAGAAGCTTAGTAAATAAACAGCATTTAAAATTACTGCTCCTTCCAAACAGGTTTCAAAGCCTGATACATTCTATAAATTTTCTGGTGCCTTCTGCAGCAGTGTAGAGGTTTTTCAAAGACTGTGTTACAAAAAGATACTAAATCATGGCAAATGCCAACAATCTGTAGAGCTTCTGATTATTCTGTTTGTGGGGTGTTTTGTGTTTGGTTGTTTGTTTTTTTTTTTTTTTTTTTAATTTCTCTGCCAGAATGTGTTGTTTAGACCTTTTGGGTACCAAAAGACTAGAAGTGAGATCTAGGACAGATGATTGTCCCGTAGCCTTGACCCTGTCAGCTTGCTGTGGTGAAAGGCTTCCCCTGTCCCGGGGACCCGTGTGGGCGAGCGGCAGCCTTGTTGGTCTGGTGAGGAGGACCCGGCTGGGTCAGACGTGACGGTGCGTTGGCGAAATGGGGTCGCTCGGTTGAAGTCTACGTCGCATGAAGGCAGATATACAGAGAGTCACATCTTGGAGATTATTCATGGTCTTGGACCACATGAAAAAATTGTGCTTTGTCCAGGATATATGTGCTGAAAACTGCACTCCCCGATCAACATGGATTTGTAAAACTGAAGACCGTTGCAAACGTAAGGCTTGCTTTTTGTTTTTTGTTGTTTTTTTCTCCCCTTGTTGTTATTTAAAGACAATAAACCAAACCCCCCAAAAGCTTTAAAACAATAGTGATATTTAGCTGTGTACAGGATGACAGCCTACAATTTAACAGGTTAGAATGTGATGCTTTCAGATCTAAGGGGGGAGGGAAATAGTTTTACTTTCCATCTTTGTACAAATTTCAATTCAGGTTTTACATCCCACATTGGTGAACTGCAAATAGAAGTTGGCAAGGTATTACCTAACGCCTTGCTTCTGGACACGAGTTTATAGGTACAAAGGCCTTTTTGGTACATACGGTGAGAACGGAAATGCTGCCAGAACGGTCAAGAACTACGCTGGCCAGTAACACTGATCAGTCTACCAAGAATCCATCATAGATGATTGATAGAACTCCAGATATTTTTTTTCAAAGAAGGCCTTGAACTCCACATGTAAAGGACTTGGGTTAAAGGAACCAGAGTTTCCATCTTCCATGCTTTTTTGATTCAGTTTTGGATTTTTGCTTGGGAGTGGAGGAGTAGCTCTCCTGAGAATAAGGCAAAGGTGCAACCTGAGTTTCCTCAATAGGATGAAGTTTTCTCAAAACTGGCTGTAGTTTATCTTCTTGCTGTTTAAAATCCAATTCCACACTAGAAATTGGAAGGAAAAAGCAATTGGTTACTAATTACGCTGATAGAAAGATTTCAATTAAGCCAACATCTGACACCAATATAAAAGTGCTTAATTTATCAAAGTCAAAGACAAACATTTAAATCAGATCTCCACATTTCTTGCAGCACGAGTGAAGGGGAGGGGGTGGAAAGAAGGTCAAAAAAAGGACATAATCCAAAGAGAAGTAGAAATGGACTGTGCAGACTTCTCTCTCCTGTGTCGGGGGGCCTTGAGGATGATGGTAGAAGTGCTGTCAAGTGATGGAAAACTAGAAATGCTACTTTTTCTCTCGGCTCTCTGGAGAAATTGCTCCGTCAGAGGGCTCCCGGGCTCGGTGCAGGGGCTGGGGCATCGGCATCCTTACGCTTTTGAGAAAAGCTGATGGGTTGGCCCTAAGCAACAAGGTCGTCACGGTAATTTCTTTACCTTCGCTGTTTGTTGCAAGTTTTACCAGCAGTTAGATTAATTTCACCAAAGTACTGTCATATGTGTATATTCATGTATGTATGTGAAAAAACCCCAGCTCTTTTCCAACAGAACCCTTTAGCATATGTTGACAGCATCTAAACTTTCCCTTTAATGAGGATAAGAAGATAAAATCTACTTGGCCCCTGCTGTAAATGACAGTTGAGAGCAAACCATCGAATGATGTAGATCTGTTTACTGAACTGGCCAGATGTGTAGGTGAGATGGAAAGACCCTGTTTCAGTAGTAACTAGTACGTGTGTGTTTGTTCCATTGCAACTAAAATTTAATAAGTGAAATACTCATTTAAACATAAGCTTTCATTCAAAAAACATACTGAAGCTCTTTGATACACCTCCTGGATTCTAAACATTGTGTCAGCTGAACAATCCTGCCAGCAATTAAGAAATATAAGATGGATGAAATTCCGACCCTTATTTTAATGGTGTGTGCTAGAGATTGTTTCAAGTTTACCTTGTAAAGCAGAGGAACCACATGATAAACTTCAGGAAAAGGTTAATCCTGTCTGATACTTGAACTGAACAAATACCCTGAAACTTTGTCCAGCAGCTTGGGGCCAAGCTCTGTGCCGAGTCCTTCCATCCCGTCCTGCGCTTTACGTTGCAGTGTGGCACCTGGCTATCAGAGGATGAGTTTAGAAGAATGGGTGACATGAAGGGAAAATTTAGTCACTGGGGTTAATTACTTTCCTTCCCTACCTTCTTGCTTCATGTTTTAACCGGAGCAGTTGGTGACTGAAGATTGGGTGTGAATGCAGCTGTGGGGACACGCGAGAGGTTGCCCTTCCCTTCCGCCTCTGCTGCTGAGGTTTCTGGGGCTTTGCACCACCTGCCTTTGCTGCCTCAGCGTTGCATAAATACGGGGTTATTGTTCCTGCATGTCATTTCACATTGAATAACTATTAAATACGTTTTCTGAGTTAATTCTGCTATTGCCTGTTTGGTGTAAACCACTAGAGAAGTGAGGCTGCCTTTTGCAGGCCTCATGCACCCAGTGTAGCTCATCTAAAAAAATATTTTCTTTAAACTTTTGTTACTACTACCCCTGTGTAGCTCAGGGATAGTGGCACATCACCCTGACCGTGCAGGCACACAGTAC